GTAAAAGAATCAAAACATTTCATATTTAGAAGAACATGACAACATTGGCCAGTCAGAGATTTATATATAAAAAAAAATGATAATCACGGTCACAACCCTAACAGCAACACTTGCACAATGTACTGCAAGCTTAACAGTTGCCTGTTGGTCCTTGAAATGGAACTGACAAACGATCACAAATGCAAGGAGAGAAAACAAAAAAAAAAATCATTCATCAGACCTTATAGTCTATTTTTCCCTATGGTGGCGTTAATGCCATGGATTTTCATTTTCATGTCTCTCAATATTCACTGTGGCCAAAGTGGAAAAAAAAAAAAGTCATCCATATTATGATTGGAACACACAAGTCGAAACTGGTCATAATTTCATGATGTCTAAACAGTTGTTGTGGCAAAAAAAAATATGCCAAAACAAAGCTCACAAAGCAACCAGAAATATGTCTTTTGTACAATTTTTTGGTGTTGTGTCGTCCAGTCATCACCGCTGGACCACAGGGATGTGGAAGCTGTGATAGTGACTAAACTACCATTGTTCAGAGAACCAAGAGTACTCCTTCATTTTCTACTTTGTTGTAGACAAAAGAGTTGAGGCTTTTCATTCAAAATGCCACCCTTCAAAAAAAAAGGTAATTCTGCATTTCAGTTTTTTTTCTGGACTTTTTGAAAAACAAAATAGGGAGCAGACAGCAGTTTTTTTTTACACATTGCACGTGTAAATAACTGCAAAACTAGTCTTTTTAAAATGTAAGCACTGACTTTCTGCAAAAGATGGTCACACCCCACCCTTATATCATACTGCATAAGGAATGACATACAAGTCTCTGTTTATAGTCTTTGTCCTGACTCAGAATTTCCCCACGTAGATTAAACTCCAAAAGCAATGACCACAGGCTGATTTAGTAAAGTGGCTTAAAGAGACAGCAGCCTTTTTGTCATAAGTAATGTGGTGAAATTTGAGCTCTCCAGATCCTTAAATTACTTTAAACAAGAGCCAGTATTTTTTCAAAGAAATCCCAATGTGGCCTCAAAGCAATTTTGCTTAAATTCATCGTTGGAGACCCCAAATTGGAAATCAAGCCAAAGGGGAGCCTACATCCATTATAATTTCCAATTCAGAACACATTGTCGGGAAGATCAAACCCCAAATAAAAAGAGAAAAAAATTAAAGAAATGGTGTAGACTGCTGACTGAAAATGAGGACAACTTAAAATGCACCTGGGTGACGTATAGTGAACTGCAATAATACTACCTTTCATTTGTATAGTATTTTACACATTTCAAAGCATCCCAAATTGCGACCGACGGTAATCAATTTGAAATCACTTTCCTAAGCATTCATTACATTCCAGAGTTTGATTTCTGTACACATCGCTGGCAAACACTTAAAATCCTTCATGTTTTGCAGTTCTAACACACTTTCTAATGAGTAAGTGGTCACACACTACAAAAAAGGATGTGTAGCATAACAGTTTCCAGGCAATCACATTCATAGTGAAAGGTGAATTCCTTTGAAATGAACTTTTTACAGGCTCTGGTTAAAAAGAATTACACATTCCATAAAACATTTAATCATGCAAATATTTTTACTACTTAAAGAATGACGATTAAAGTTGGCAAATTAACAATACATTACAAATTCTGAATGGAAATTGCATAGAAAACACTCCTGGATCAATTCAACAGCATAACAAAGATGTCCTCTTACAGAAATAATTCAGGACCAGGAAGAGAATTCCAGTAGGGGATAAAGTAACAAAATGATTAAAACATATTAAAACAATCGTTTTTGTAATTAACCCTTACAATAATTAAAAAAACCTCTGGGGAATCTCATTAGCCAACGAGAAGCTAACCAATTTAAAAATAAGGGGTATCCAATATACTTTCCCATTCTAAGCCATTCTTGTTAGCAAAAAAAAAAAACAGTGAAATCAAATAAGCAGCTCATATCTCCAGCTTTATATATGTATAATCCTCATCAATTTGTATTATATAAAACATTTTCTAAATAAAATCCATTTCTGAGCGTCATTAAAAAAAAAATCACACCAAGACCTAGCAGTATAGATTCAAACTGAGTTCTAACTAAATCATTTTCACTATGCAGAAACTCATTTTGAGGCTGTTACTTGACTGTAGCAACTTCATCTTCAACCCTGTTCAGCTAAAGCGGCATTCTTCATCATATTCCATAATCTGCCAGACAATCAGCGAAATGCTACCAGCTGCTTGTTTTAATGATAGGGTTGAGAAATTTAGGAGCACTGTAAATTGGCCAAAACCTGTAGAAAATAAAGGATACCTCCAAATGATCTCAATGAGTAGTTCAGGCACAATAACAGATATAGTAATACATTACAGTGCTTCATATGTTTACAATGCACTGAGCATTATCTAAGCACAATGGGAAAAGAAAGCACTCAACCAGACCTTGTGAAAGCTCTAAGAAAGTTGAATAAAATGCAAGGGAGATGGATTAAGAGTAAAAAATAGGATCAGAATCTGGGTTACCATATGGTTATTAAAATTAAAAGACTAAACCATTGAACACCAAATAACGGTAAAGAAAGTGCCGTGTATACGTTTTAAAAATTGTTTAATTCTTAATTTTATTGTGACAATAAAAACCATTAGGAAGATGCATGCTTCAAAACGGATTCACATTTCTTCACGTTTTATTCCCTTTCTTCTACATGATGCGTTCAAAATCCAGCCACCTTCAAAACGGGATCACAAATAAAGCATTACCTTTTGGGGAAGCCTAAAATCAGCATGCAACACAGGCCTGCAGAGACTTCTAGAATGTCTGACGAGCATCCTGTACACAATATTATTAACGATCTTTCTAATTACATCTTCCTTGAGTAAAATACAGTACAAAAAAAAAATAACTAGCCGTCAAGATTTCAAACTGAAATCAGACAGGCACATCTAAGGCTATTACTTCTGTCAGATTTGGTTTCCTCCTCTTTTTTTTTTCTTTTACTAGCTGTAAAAATACTCGAGTTAGTTTGTAGCACCACCTCCTACCTCTTTGCATATGTGACCCTTGTTTTGTAACCAACCCCATTTGTTAAGATACCAGCAGAACTCACAGGTCATTACAAGCTTCTGTGAACTATTATGTCTGTCACCACTTTAAGCATCAAGTATCAGTCGTGCCTTTGGAAGCCCATTTTAAATAACTTTGGGTTTGCAAAAAGTACAGGAGCAGGGAGACAAAAAATGCAAGCTATAAAACATTCCTCTCCTCAAATCATCAACAATCAAACAGAAACCAAATGCTAAAGATGGAAGCCCTTATAGAATGATCGAGGTTGCAGTACAGACGAGACAAATGAGGAAAAGGACTCATTCCCTTACATGTTACCTCTCTGTCCAAGAGGTAAAGACAGACTCCCTGACATTCTCCCTTTGCCTTTTATTCCCCCTTCAGGGTGCAATAAGCTACCGGACACACAGAAATCCAAGGGGCAGGAAAATCCGGAAGAAACATTTTCAGAATATATGAAACCTCAGAAGCAGCAAAGCAACATTTACAAATGCTGCATGAACCCAACTGCACAAGTATCCACGTGTTTTTTTTTTTCCCCCCACAGGAAAGGTATTGAAAGTTTATGTTATTATCAATAGAACACTAAACTTATGTAGCCTTCCACTTGAAAGGGACGGTGCAAAAGCAGAACCTGACTGTTGGCGTTCAACAGCGACCGACAGCATACACTATACACGCTTTCTGGGGAAGGGAAAAACAAGCTTATAGTGAATAACTGCCCATGTGGCTCTTTTCTCCGACTGGCTTTCACACATGATCTTCGTGTAAAGAGTCAAACCGATCAAGTGGACAAAACACACAAAATCAAAACCCAAACAGGAAGTTGCCCTTCTGAATGAAATAAGCAGGAAGCTGAAAGCTCATAACGGCAATTTATAAAGCGTGCACTACAAGCTTTACACTTCTATGTCTCATCTTAAAATCACAAGCATAATCCCATTATTTTACAAGTTTGCAGGTTCCAAGCAACTAGGTATTACCATTACAGACATTCCGTGAAATGTTTAACTACAAATTACATCTTCTGGACACATTCCTTACAATTTGGTAAATTGGTGACACAATAATGTTGCATGGTTATGAACTGAATGCAATGCAGGCGAGAGATTTAAGGGACTGCATCACACTAAAGACCTCACTAAAGACTGGAGGTTTTACTACATTCATTACAGTTCAGTTTGTCTGGAAAACGGCCTTCACAACAGTTCAATTTCCAAGTGAATCGAACCGAAACAAGACCACAAGATGACTGGCAACTGGACTAGGCACAGCTGGCTTTCCAAACTTGAATGCTAACAAAATGAAGGATTCGGCTCATTTGCAAACAGGAAATTAGTTATATGGTAACGGCATTACAGCAATGTCAAGGGGAAGAAAATGAAGGGGAACAGTTCAGGAAATATGGTCAGACAGCAGAAGTCAGATGAAGTTTGGAAAGCACAAAACAAGTGTTTTCTATTTTTTTTTTCCTCAGAGGCTCAAAGAGGCAAGGTTTACAAGAGGATGCAAAGAAGAGTCAAAGTAAAAAAAGACATTTCGAAGTTTAAGATGGCAAAGTTAGAAATGCATCGTAGGTAACGGACAATATAAAGTTCACTTAATTAGAGCATGAAAACGAGTAAACCAAGTTCCCGAAAAAAAACAAGAAGAAAAAGAAAATGCAAACCACTTCTCTACCAAACACGCTCTTCATAACTAAATCTCAACGGCAAGTACATTTCAATCCAATGAAGCTGACTCCAACCTGGTCTGTTACAACAAGCCCAACCTAACATACATCCCCACCCAACCTCCCTTCTTTACTGACAAAAAGGGATAGTGGGTAATTTCAGCAGCCATTGAGGTTGATGAACAATAAACACACAAATGCAGTTACAAGCTGCTTTTTAAGGAAGCGGTTAGTTAATGGAGGAATTTGGCAAAGTGAAGTTCCAGACGAAACTCACCGTTCTGGGCATGGGTGGAGACAAGGATCCGTTGCTCAAGTAGGAGTCATTGTTCATGTTTGACATCATGATGTAGCCTGGATAGCCTTGGTAAGGATGTCCTTTGTTGTATAAGCTTCCATCTTGCTTCCCTGCAAAAATAAAAGAAATGTTAAGTAATTTGTGGGCAGCCCAGTTTACACGCAAGCATACATACATCGACAGTTACTGGCATAGAGTTCAGATTTATGCTGGATCTGAACAGAATTCCAGCTTAATTTATGATCAAAATTAAACTGGTCTTTTAATGTATTCACTGCTATCAAATGCTGTCACAAACTAAAGAATAACCCAATAATTCCAGTTTTGACCAATATAATTGATATTTTCAAAAAATACACAAAACAAGACAAAGTAGAGCTTCCTCAAAAAGCAATTTATTTTTTAAGAGCAGATTAGACAAAATTAAGAATCTCTGGGAATCCTTCCATAAAGGCTTTTTTAAACATAACTAAGTCACTGTAAAGGGGTTCAGCTCATTCACTTTAGTTCATTTTAAATATAATCTGTAAATTGTCTAACGTACATTCTTGTTTCCCCATTACATAATACCAGAAAGGGAATAACCACGATAGAAATACTTGAATGATCTAGAAATTAAAATAAAAGCTGTTTTTGTTAACCCAATTTAACAAAGTGAATTAATGCCTTTGCGCAGTTTAGCACATCACACAGTGTTAATGTTACACTTGCCCACTGTTTGCCAACGTCAATCATTTAAACACTCCGTTTTCCTTCTAAGCAGAAGAAGTATTATTCTGCAGAACAATACAGCCCCTCCATGCCAATTAGGAGCAATTAAAAAGAACAGACAGATCCTGTCAAACAGGGATGCCCCACTGTTTGCCTTGGCCTTTGACACTAAAGGGGTTCATTCCCGGAGGCTCTCTCTCCAGATCGGAATAACAACTCACGCTCGACTTTGGAGATCACAGTCAGAACTACAACGAGATTGATGGCAGCACTTCTTAACTGTGGCCCTCACCCTGCTTTACATGTTGTAGAACTATTTAGTAGCTGCCTTTTCAACACCCATCTTCAGCGTGTGCTGTATCTCTATTCATGGGGGCACACAGCCAAGATACTTCTGTGCCTCCATCCTAATCCATTCTCATCCACTGTGGTATACCAGAAACAGAAACTCCTCACATGCAACACTTGCAGCAGCGACATGTCCGTCGAGTTCATAATGATGACGTTTGGAGAACTCCGGCAGAAAACAATACCTTCAAATGTTTCACTTCATCAATAATATGGGACAAAAGATAACCAAAAACGAACATGCGAATGTCTTCACTTTCATTCTTAGGTTTTAAAAAATAAAACTTAAAAGAATGTAAAAAATTATATTTTTAAAATTTGATGTTAAAAAAATAAATTTGACAAATGGAGCACTAAATTAGATATTCCTTAAAACTAGAGTATTATTCAACAAATTTGGGTCACAAATGACTAACGTAAGAAAAGAAAAATTGCTTATTAGTAGTGTTACACCAGGTTACAATACAAACAATGACTGCCTTTATCTTACCACAAGTAGCAACACAAATGCCATCCTCTGATGTATACCTGCACATTTTGCACCATTCGGCACATTTTTTTTCCTATTTCTTTGATTTTAAATTGAAAAGATTTCCACTTCTCAAAGCTGCCATGATTCATAAAGGTTTCTTCCGGTTTGTGAATTTGCTCACGCCTTACAAAATTACCCTTTGCATATTCTCATTCTATTGCTGTTCCCCTTCTCTCTGCTTGACCTTCAATTTCATGGTTAAACCTAGAAAACTTGCTGAACCTTAAAAATATATATTTTTAATTTAAGCCAGTTGTACTACAAGCGATGTTATTTTACATTGCTAGTACCTATCACATGATTTACAGCATCGTATATTTGAGTGTTTTAATATGCAACATTGGAACATTACAAGAGACTTGCAACTCAAAACTAGCATTCTGAAAATTTGCCATCTTTTTTTCCCCCAACTGTAAGAAAAGTGCACAGTATTAAAAGGACGTAGCTTTTAAAAAAGCATCTTATTTAAGTAATGCATATGGCATACTGGTTATTTACCTATGGCAACCAACTCAGACAGCAGCTGGTGGGTAATTCGCTGGCCTAATGCAGTCTATACTTACCATCATCAGAATGTTCTCTGTGTTTTTCATGGTATGAATCCTGGGGTACTTGGGACTGTCTAGCTGCCTGCAAGGAACAAGGCAAAACCAGATGCATAGTTAGGGTGCTAATTCAACAACCTCAAAAAAACAAAACAAATGGCTACTCTGAGTTTCAGAGCTTGGTCTCACAGTTCCCCAAAAATGCTCAATTTGTTTTGTTCTGAGAAGAGGGGGGGCAACTTCTTTATCTATAATAACATAAGACAGCATAATACAATGAAGAATATTGGTGGTCGCGGATGGTCTTCAATAGAATGCTATGACTTCAGAGGACAGATGAGAGTTGGGTTCAGATGCTTTGTAATGATAGTTTCCGTGCAGTCTCCCCACTCCCACCCCCCACCCCCTTTGACACATGCCAAAAATGAGATCCTGATTTTGGTCTTCAGTATCATCTCCCATAATAAAGTGGCAAAAGCAAAAATAACACCTGCTGACGTTCTTTCAGAACCATCCATAATTTAAATAACATTTCCTTATTTATGCCTTCAAAATCCTTGCCCAAAAATCTCAAGAATTATACTAGATAGCAGATGAGTGGTTAGTTTCCTTCATTGACAGAACAGGAATCAAAGCAAAATAACTGTACTGTATATACTGTACTTACAGAGAGAAACCCAGAACGTGGTTGTACAAAAATGTTACAACTATTAAATCAACGTTTACACTACATATCGACCTTATTAAAATAAGTCTCGTGTGCTTTGTCTATCAACATTCTTTAAAAGGTGAAAGTTGTCTCATCAGGCCCATTTCACTGTTACTAGAGAAACAGTATAGCAGGCGCCTGTAGGGTACGTCAGGGATTAAAAAAAAAAACATGTACGTGTGTCTGTCAGCGGTGTTTTTGAAGTGACATGCAGCCACATACACACTAATCACACCATACATAAGACTGGCAGTGCACCAGTACGTTTAAAATTGAATTAAGCTTTAAAATTCGGCAGTGCATTGGGGTTATATACGATGTAATCCAAACTACTGAAATACACCGATATTTTTCACTGTTGTGCTGCCAACAAACGCAACATTATTGTGTTTTTTTTTTCGCTGTAACAAGAATGTCTACGGTTAATAAGCGATTTGGTCTACAATTTGTAAATACAAAAGACATTATGTGCTCAGTGTATCTTAGAAATTCTTTGAAATGTAGCATTTTAAATAAAATCTTCCCCAAAGATAAAGGCGTAGGGAGAGACAGATACAGTTGTAATACGAACGTCATTAGGGGATTTATTGACAACGTTTACATGCGTGGTTTTAACCAAATGAACTGATGATTAGAAACCTCGATTTCCTTTTACACAACGGTGGAATTCCAGAGTGAGCACTTAGTACGGCACATGTCACGTCCTTAGTTTTTGGAAAAACTTTTTTTCAGCTGAAAATGTTTGACTGTAGATGTCACAGATTATAATGCACATTTATAAAGACCGCTTAATCCGGTAAATGAGTTTAAATAACATTTCTTGGTAAACAGCAACAAACTATCTGGGGTAAGGGAAAATGAAAAGCGATTGCTATACTTGTTTTGCTGGTAGCGATTGTGTAAATGCTGTACTTTAAACTGAAAAACCGCCACCAATAAATCTTAACTCGTTCGAAGTACTGTCACCAATTCATTTACTCAAAAGAGACACTAATAAGACATCCCGCCGCGTTTGAAATACACAACCTAGCAGGCCTATTGGTTACATAGTGACCACCTCCTTAAGAGCAGGATAGAAAATAACAGCAATTTTATTCTCCAAAACATTCGAGCGTGACTTTCAGATTTTAGTAGATCACCTATTTATTTAAGTTATTTAACTGGCATCATATTGCAAAAATACCTGGAGATAAATTAAATGTCGCCATTAAGAAAGAAACAACTCTTGGAACTACATGCCTAGTGAAGAAACTGCAAAAGGTAACTTCACAGCGCCGGAGCTGGAGCTGTATCTAAGCCTCCGCATCTGACAGATGGAAAAGCACCAGGTTTTATTAAACGGGCTAGGCTGTCAAGAGACGAGAATCTAACAATTTTCTTGCAGTGCAAGTCACGAAAGGCAGGCAGTTCTTTCCCTCTCTGTGGCATTTCTGCGCATTGAAAAGAACAGAAACCTCTCCAACGAAGTCATACCGAGTACGAACCGCACTGACAGTAAAGGAGGTGTTTTGCAAATAACTTCCACGTGTCTTGGCCAGGTTTGCGTAAATACGCTGACAGGTTGTTAAATGCCTTATCCTCCCGACTTTCCAAAAGATGGAGTGTGACGATAACTATCGATGGACGTAAACTGCACAAAACCTTCAGCAATTCACAATCTTCTTTTATAACAGGTCGTGTACTTCATTCACGGCGTCTTCTTCCTTTATCAACATGGAAATTGTTTAAGCCGCCTGTCCTGAGCAGAGACGTTCACGAGAAAGCCAAGACCTCACAGATTAAATGACGTTAAAAAAACAGCAGATCGTCATTTAAACTGATTAAAGACTAATCAATGTGTTTGGAGTGTTGGATCATAGATTCGGCTTTTAAAAACTAAGCCAGTCTAAAGTTAAATCAGTGTAAACATACGGAAGGATAACCAAGATTTTTGAAAAACAAACGTGAAAAAAAGGTGTGACAAGTGTATAAACTTGGTTCAGCCTGCGCTTTGTTATGGAAATCATTTAAAGAGTTAACCTACTGAACCTGAGTAATTCTCGAGTGCCTTCTTTTTAGGCACAAATACCCCACGTTTTACAAAAAACACAAGTCGTATCCCCGTAAACCCAACAACGTCAGTTTCGTACACTTAAAAAAACTCACCTCATGGCTGTTACTGTTGGGGTTTATCTCCGTCTCGTTCACTAGAGATGACTTGATATCAGCCAAATCGCCCTCCTCCTCTGGGTGACTAATTTCGGCAAAAATCTTCTCCTTCTGTGGATCCCCTTCATCTTTGAAAGGGATCATTTCATCGTTTGCGCACAGTTCCGGGTCTCCGCCGCCGCCACCCCCTCCAGCTAGCTGGGGCATATTTGTTTTTCAAATGAACGCAAGCACTCCCGTTCAATAATATTAAAAAAATAACTGTTCTTAATCCCAAAGTGAAAGTGGAAGAGTTCCCGTTAAGGAAAAACGTATCGTACTCGAGTCTTAGTGTGAGTGCTCTGTCTGCAACACCGCTTGTATTGACTACAGCAACAGGAGCGTTTTCGACGGTGTTTTCGACTTTTTTCAGTATCGTGAATTCTTAAAATTATTCAGAACCAAAATACCCAATGCAGTTTAAACATTTTATAGGTAAAGGTAAAAATCAAAATCTCACATTGAGTGAAGAAAGAGGGGAAAAAAAACAAATACTGAAGAAACGTTTTTGTACGGCAGTCCGCAGTTTGTGGGGTTTTCAGTTGCCAAAACGCTGCCCAAACTCCGTGGACTTGACTCGGATACCAGTTTTTGTTCAAGAACAATAATCGATACGTGCTGAAAAACACGCTAGATTTTTCCGTGAGTATGCGGTGTACAATAAATAACCCACTATATAAAATTGAAGACAACCTTAAAATATTTCCTCTTCAGCGCCCCAGATAATGTTAAAATTCGTTTCTACGTCGGATTCCACTCCCGTAAAAAACAACCGTGAAGTACAAAAAAGTGCAACCTGCTTGGTGTGTTTTTTAGGCTTCACAAACCGCGTTCTTTCAAAAAAAAGCTACTATTTCAAGTCTTTTTGTCCCCGCTGTGTTTACAAACGGCGCAGCATGACACTTTTTGTACACCTATAACGCATCCTTGTTCATTCGTTCAAAACAACCTAAACACGAATTTGTAAAAAAAAAATCCCAAAAGTCCAAAAGTTCTTGTATCTTATATCAATACGTCGTAAAATGACTCCAAACTGGAGCTCCGCTCCTTGTAATGCAGTGCTTCTGTAATGTGTGTTGGTAATGTAACTCTCCTCCCCCCTCCCTCTCTCTCTCGCTGCGTCTTGCTAAGAGTGCGAGAGGAAAGATGAAAGAGAAGCCGTCGCTGTGATTGACACCACACTGATTGACACTCCTGAGAGAGCAAGGGGAGAGAGAGATTTATACATACAACACACACGGCAAAAGGGTAGACAGGGAAAAAGAGGGGGGGCGGGGGTGGAGTGGTGCATACGAAGCTGACACCAGGCTGAAGACAGACTTACTACTGTTCTGTTAAAAAAAAAAGACAGAAAAATACAGAAGCACTGCCTTGCCGCGCATTAGACTTCAATAAATCCGAGGTGTGTAACTATAACCGCGGAACTTGGCGCAGGTCGGGCTGTTGAAAATAAAATCTTGTATTTTACTTTGCAGCCAATTTTTTTGAAGTTATTACAGTTATTGTGAAGAATAAACGATTTTTGTAACAGAACGCATTCAGGCTACCGAGTTGGTAGATTATACGGTTATTAAGTAAAGATCTAAAATCAATCGGTGAACAAATTGCCGCAATAACCTCCAAAAGCCTGCTTCATCATAATGCTACAAAGAGGCTGAAAAAAAATATTTCCTACTGCGATTATTATGGTTCGTTAGTTAATATAATACGTTAGAAGCAAGAACCTGAAGAAATTCACATAACAATGTGCAATTCATTTTACCAATTACTACTATAACTCATCTTAAATGCTATTAAAATGTGATTTATGCGTCGATAAAAATTGTGTAGATTCATTGCCATTTAATGCAGAAGATGTAGTTAATTCCTAGCTAGCGAAGGGTTTTTTATATTGTTATTGAAAGCCTTTAAATAGATCGTTATAAATCCGGAACATTTGGTATAGCTTTCAGTTTACAACACAAGCAGAGACGGGCAAAGTAAAAGACCAGCGCAGCAAATCAGTTGAAGTAACTTGAAAAGGTTAAAATATCTATACCTCCGGAGCCAACGTGCAAAAATGATTGAACTTAAATTTGATGAGGTTCCCGTTACTTTTATTGCCAAATAAAAATGTGTAACCTCATCTTTATTTAAGAAAATGTTTATTTTGAAAAGATTACATGTGCGAAGAACATCAAACGAGAATATTTACATTAGACTTAATAACTCTTAAAATAGTAATGAGTATGCCTGACATTTATTTGATATGGATATATAAGCATAGCATTGGAAAAATACATGAAATTTCGTATAATTAATTTCTCTCGGATTCAGCCTTTGATTTGGCTAACTTTTCCGGACATGTATGCAAGTATTTGCGTCGTTAAAATAAGATAAAAAGGGGGATGTACCATGTGTTTAAGCTCAAGTAATCAAATAAGCATGGCCTTTTAACGGCAATACAGACAGCGACAGGAATGTTTATGAACTCATTGGGTATTGCAACAAAAGCATTTTCGGGAGGCATGCAATTAACTTAATGTTAAAATCAGCGTTAATTCATATGATAACATTATCATTATCACATTCATATTATTTCTGTCTTAAAACATCACTCAATTTACACAAAGAAAAGTATTTGTAAACGAATTGTAACTTGCCCATATTATTTAAAGTGTTTGTGCAGTTAATCATACAAAAAGGTATAGGATATTGGAAGCACATCTCATATTAATTCCCTTTAAAAAAATTAAAGATGATTACACACGTAATGTTAATGTAAAGATACAATTGGCTATGATAAATGTCAATGGAGTCATACTGAACCATTAAGTGAAAGCTGTAGTGTGGGTCTTGCAACATGTGTGATGCTTAAGCCTAATTCTTCTGCGATTTCTGAACCATAGAAATAAAATTATACCAGAATGTTCATTCACACCTCCAAAGCTGCGGCAGTGTTACAGTTGATTGTAATCTGTTATACAGTATACATCGTATAAACCTGAAGAGCTGCACAGGGTCAATAAACTTAACAGCACGTGTAAAGAACTAGAGGGTGGAGTTAAACACGGAGAATAATTGGTGGAAAATTGCCTAATTTAGGCAAATTGGAGGATATTGTTTTGTGATGTCCCATCAATTAGTTTCGATACTTTCTAAACAGCAGTGTAGGCTATCAGCTCTTTCGCACGTAACTAATGTCTCTTTCTCAGCGTGAAGAGCTTGCCACTTTGTTCCCGGAGAAAATTGAGGTATTTGAAACGAATTAAATACAAGGCTGGAGTTGTTACTCCCCTAATCATTAGTGCCTTTACCGGATACAAATATTGCACCGTATCAAGTCGGCGCTTGTTTGTAATTTACGTACTTCCAAGATTTAATAAAGCAGGACGGATTAAACCCTTATCTAACAAAAACTGTAATTGCACAACTGTTTTAATGTACCTTTTTTGGTCTGGTTATGTGCGCTTTGAGGTAGAAAACCGTTTTCTTTTGCTAGACACAAGTCTCTCCAAGAGTCTCCGAACTGCTAAAGACAAAAACACAAAAAGAGAAGAGACGGGACGCACGCTCTTTTCCCCTCTGTATACATCCAAAGCCATTTAGTCTTTACCCCACAGAAAAGAAAGAAACGAGAAACATTTTTACTGCCAAATTATTTCAATCTCCCAAAAACTGTGCATTTAATTAAAGAGATATGTCCCTTTTAAGTTTTTTTCTCTCCTTTCTGCATCTGTCTTTTCCCCTTTATGTGGGCTGGAGTATTTCCCAGTCTTTTTTTTCTGGTGCTAGCGTTGTAAAGAAAGAAGATAGTGGGGGCGGATAATGATTTATGACAAGAGGATAAACTCAGGAAGCCATAACCCCAAGCTCCAGATTTTTGGGGCCACAGAGCAATTTGCATGAACTTAGAAAAACGTCCCTAGTTGTGACATCAACGGAAAAACAAAGTCAAATTAAAATTGTTCTGTTAATGAGAAAAATTGAAAATCTGAAAGAAAGCATTGCAAAAATACTGACTCGTTAAAGAAGAGATTCTGGACAATGAAGAGCGATTACAGATTTTCTTATCACCATTTTGAAACTGTAATCGAAAGTATACAAAAATCAAGCGCGGAAAAAGCAGACCTCGTGAAACAACGAGTGATTTAAATGACATGTAAAGCCTGTATTCTAAATTCATCGCTTTTGTGCTTTAAAAAGGACAATTATGTAGGGGCACTGACAAAATGCGCTTGGCAGAACTAAAATATGTACAATAAAAAAAATACAAAACATGTACAATAAAAAAATACATAAAAAACATGTACCGGAGTTATGAAACCAAACCTACCAATTGACTTTTTTAGTATAGAGCGTCTAGGATTTTTTAATCTATACAATTGGCAGAGACTATCGGAGCAGTTTTGTTACAACGTCTGCTGAATAAAAAGACGTGGTACATTCATAAGTAAATAAAATGGAACTCTTTCGTCCGGTAAATGTTTTAAGGAAAGAAAAGATTGGGGAAAGCGCTTCAGCGGCTAGCTGTGGAAAGATTGCGTGAGAATAACTTGGGAGTAAGAGGCAGATCTTTATAAAGCTCGGAGGTGGGGTTAGCAGGCGGAGTTGCGGCTGCCTTTGATCTTCCAGCGGCTGGCTCTTTCATCCTCGGTTTTCCCCCTTCTCCGGTTTGCCTTTGTATGACTAAATTTGGGAAGAACATGGAGACGAGCCAGGTTTTCCACGTGTGCGCTCGCTCCCAGCTGAGAAGGCAAGGGTTCTCTTCCGGGTAAGGAGACAGAAAAAAAGATCAAAGGCTTTGGATTTGGATCTGAAATGCGGATTGAAAGGCAGAGACTGGCTGCATTCCAGAGTTTCACAGAAAGTCGCTCCACAAATACATACACAAGAGACGCGCAAATGAGAAGCAATATCACAAAGGCTATTGGATGAAAAATGGTTAAAATCTAGCCTGCTGTAAAGCCCACCCACATGAGTTCTTTCTTTTTGTTCTGTAATATACTGTGGAAAGATGTACAACAGTCTGAAACGCACTGAATGTGTTAAACCAAAGCGTTTTATTTGTCACCCCTATTACCAAACCCAGCTGCTTTCAATTTAAAATTGAAGCGCGTTTTGATGGTCTTTTTCGGTCAGCACACAGATAAAGACACGAGTTGCGCTTAGAATGACAGTGCTGAAGACCTGCCTGCCCTCATCTGGGGCTCAAACATCTTTTTTTTATATAAAAATATTGAACAAGAAAAGCTTTAACTTGCGGCTGCCTTTGAGCACCAACACCATAGATGGCCATTAGTGTTCGAGATCGATTATTTTAATTCTTAGATTTGTTCTCTTTTTTTCCCCCTCACAATCTGCAATTGCCTCACCACTCTTTTTATGTATTCAGGTACTACCCTGAAGTCTTTGCATGCGTCATTAGCAATAATGTAAAAAAAAACGGAATTATACATTAGCCTCATCTTAGATACAGCATATTTGATTAAAACGTTTTCTAGTGCATAGGGAGTGATGTTAGTGCGTACGTTCTAACTTCATTGTTTCTTACGCATCGCGAATTGTAAAAACATATGTTGCCGCTTTTGTTTATTGTCTTTTGGAATTAAGTTGCTTTGTTGCTTTACTTTAAACTGAGTTTGGATGAGATTTTGTTTTTTAATGGATATGCCTAAGTGTGAAGGGTAGTAAAACGAGCACTTTATGGGTTGACATTACTTCGGAGACTCTCACAGGCCTTTTAACTGGACTAGATGGCTAGAACTGGTAAACAGAGGATCGAACTGCTGTGCTAACAGGATCTCAGAAAGCAGTGAATGAAAGGCTTCCCCACTCCTCTGTTCCAAATGAGATTTTAACCCCTTTGGTACGGTCTGTTACGGCAGAAACCCATGTATAGTTACATAACGGAGCTTCAGTCAAATCCTCCATTCAAATAGACAGGATTTTGAGAAATAGCACTGTGGATGACAAGGCTAGTAACAGCTTTTTAAAAAAATCAGATCGATGAATGAGTCAGGAAAGCAAATAGCAGGCAGTAATATAAACCAAAAGCACTGGACACCTCTGTTTTGCATGTTCATCTTTGTTAGTATTTTCCCAATATTATGCTCTATGAGTTGCAGTTGGATGGTAGTGCTTGTGTATGTAATTTGTATTTTAGAATTTTAGGCTGACAGTT